ACCGGTATCGGATAAAACCTAAACGATACCCATCCCTACTGAGACCAGTTCCTGATTGGACAGGACTGGATATTACTGCTACACTGACGTGATCACTGACCTTATCGTGCAGGTCCAGCAGCAGATCCCTGATGATGAGCTGCCGCTCATCAGCAGATATCAGATCAGCTGGGCAGGCAGTCAGCAGCGTCTCCACCAGACTCCTCCAGGACTGCAGCGCATGCCGCTTTGCACTCAGGCTCCGACGGACACGGTTACGTTCCACCACTTGCTGCAGGATTGAGTTCACCTCCTAAGGCAAAGTAAACAGCAAATGGAATAAAATTACAGCTTTCAGCTAAAATTACAGGACGTCAGTTTGTGAGTTTCACTCACTTCCATTAACAGAGGCCTCTGTCCAATCGCTGCCATTCCTTGCAGCGCGTTCACCTCGGCGACCAGCACTCTGTGAAGCAACTGTGAGGAAAATGAAAACCAACTTGAGAGGATGAAACAACACATCAGATCAAGAAAATACACGAGACATCGTATCTGGAAACGCACCTTAACGTTGCACACAGTATGTCCCTGCTCATTGACGTGCTCACAGTTGGAGATCACCTGCTCTATCTGAGTGCGTTCAAAGAAGTCCAGCTGCAGCAGCTCAGGCATATCCTGGCTGAATTCGATGGCATCCAGCACGCTCAGTAACTTCCTGCGCACTGATGATGAAAAGCGAGACAATCTGGGGTCATTCTTAAAAACTCCTCACATGTATTCTTCTAATATTTTTCTAAATTCGAAGGTGGACTTGTGACACAAACCTTTAGAAACGGTGTCAAAATGCAGAAAACCGCTGACTGATCTCGTCTCGTCTTCCATGCCAGATTCCCCATCTGCTAAAAAATAAAAAGGCTTTAGGTGCATATTGTAAATTTCCTTTGCAATAAACAGGACGGTCGGCTGTGAGGGCTTGAAAGCTTTCTAAAAAGATCCTTTAAGCTTTTATTTACAGCCATGGAAAGTATAGAGCAACTTTCCTTTACCTGCATGCTGAGCGTGTGGCTGGTCATCCAGCAGGAGGCTGACGAGGCGCTGTGTATGGGAACGCTGGCGGTTGAGTGAGGTCACTCTCAGCTCGATTGCAGCTGTTTTCATGAGCCAAGACATCTGGGAGAGGGCGGCAATCTGGTTACCTGAGGAGCAGAAGGAAGAGAGAAAAAAGTGTTTTCTGTCCATTATTTCCTCCCTGCATGAATACACAACAACTCGTTTCAAAATAATGCTACTGCTTCGTTGGTAAAACGCCTTTTATTTAACAAGGTTAGCAGGGATTCTGAGCTCACTTGGCAGGAGGAAGGGCAGGTGTTGCAGGTGTGAGAACAGGAAATCCTGACTGGTCCTCAAATAGCGCATTGTGGGTCCAGATGTGTCTGGACAAGCACACAGCTGGTAGATCACCTGAGAGAAAAAGAAAACCAGACAAACACAAATTTGAAATATTCTGTAACATAAAATCCTCCTGCTAGCTGAGCTACATCTCTCACTGCAGAGATTGTGCCTCATTTAAACAGGGCTCGCAAAATCGCTAGCCCGACTAGCCCGGGGCTACCAAAATCCATCTCAGCCCTGCCCGTCAGGCTGTCATAGGAAGAAAAAATATGGCAATGCTTTTGCATTCTTTC